CCCTTAGGACAATATAGCTCTTTTATACAAAAAATAACAATAAAGACAAAAGGTCAAAACTATTGCTTCCAGATGCTAGGGTATTTTAGATAATTAATAATAAAGTATAATTGTTTCAAAATGACCCCTAATAGCAGGGAGATAAGGTATAATGACCAATATTAAGCGCTAAACATTTGTGAATTTGGGATATTAGTGGGCGTTGCGCTTACGCATGGGTGGAGCCTTATTCTAGTAGACGCAAAAGGGATGAACAAGGAAGCAATTCGTATTATTGTTCATATTGGTTTAGTCTTAAGAAATAATTTTGTATGTCAATTAGGATAGTTACCATAAGATAATAGAAATAGGCGTGGTGTGAGAAATGTTACGGGGCTAGCAAATGTTTTAAAAGAAGATGGGGGGACAGTCTGGGACAGTCTAAGGGAGTCCGGTGGAGGCCGGGAACAGGATCGTAACTCGGGATTCTGTCGGTTCGTTGCGAGTTTTCGTGAATTTAAGGGAGTCTGGTGGAGACCGAGAGCGGGATCAGAACTCGGGCTTTCTGAGGGTTCGTCACGAGCTTTACGAAATAGTTGATGCGATTCTGAGAGTTGTCGTAGTCTTGCTATCAGATCAGTGCGTCGCGAGATTTGATAGGCAGGTCTGAATTGCTTAGAAGGAAGGCGAATCTCTATATATATGTTAGTGCGGTACGAATATATACGTAGGTTACATTACGAATTATAAAAATCCTTATTAAACCTTAAGTATGAGTCAGTTCGACGCGGGCTTATTAAAGTCAGTGTTTTATAATAATTAGAGTCAGTGGGTCTATTAGAACTTGTCAATGGTAGAGTTAGTGCGGTTGAAAACTCTACATTTAGGGTAAAATAGAAATTATAATCCTCCGTTGGACTCGGGTTCAAGGCCTCCGTCTTGAACCGCAAGTAAGTGGGTGTTAGGTACGCTAGGGTCTCATTAGGTTGTTAGGAATAAATTAGGTTTGCTAGGATTGTGTTATATTGTATTTTGTAATATTAAAAAGTAACATTAATGTTCAGAGTAAAGTAATAAAGGCAAGTTAAAGATATATTAGACTGTATTAACTTATTATAGATGGCCAATATGAGTGGTATACATTTAAATATTGTATACGATATTAATGTTATATTTAAGGGATAGCTAACGATACCTAAATGGTGAGAATTAACGACAAACAGGGTAAAGCGGCGTAGGTCTTATAATATTATTATTATGCAGTGAATAGTTTACGTACACATTATACAAGATTTTATATCTAAATAAATATAACAGCCCTTATTATGGGAGAGACTTTAGCCGAACATACGACGGCTTATTTCATAAACTATATGCATAGAACAGATATATTAGTTGAGATAATTCTCAAATACATGTTGAATATAGGTCATGACTTGTGTCTGTCCTATATACATTACTCTACGTTTCTTCAGTTGACTACTTTAATAACACTGGTGACATTCAGAAATTATATATATTCTTCACTAAAAGAAATATGGTTATTTTACCATACAACATTTAAATAAATAATAATAACAATAAATTCCTCATTTTATGAGAGACTTATAACAGCTGAATCTATATACAGTTTAATAAATAAATTATATGCGCAATGCATAAATCTTCAAGATTCATCATGCTGGCGAGCAAAATACTGCAATCTTATAAATGTCCAACATAGGCCATGACGCATGTCTGTCCTACACTATTACGCTACCTTATTGTGTTGCCTAGCTTAATAATGCTGGTAACGCTAACATACATTTCTATATTTTGGTTAAATAACCAAACAATATATTACAAATAATAATAATCTCTTCATTATATGAGAGACTTCTGCTGAACATATAACAGCATACTTAATAAATTATATGCGCAATGCATAAATATTTACAAGTACTTCAGCTGGCGAGCTAAATACTGCAAACTCTACAAATATTCATCGTAGGTCATGACATATGTCACCCTACAACATACCACTACCTTTCCTGAGTTGCCTAGTTCGATAACATTGGTAATTCTTATAATTATGATTTATATTGAAATAACAAATGCCTCCAGTTTGGCTGCTGATACATGTGGGTTATGGTCGGCTCCGTTTGTTGGTCGACAGTCGGCTCATATATTGTTAGGATGGCGGTCGTCAGTTATACTGGCTTACCATTATGCCATTAGGGACTTATTTCCACTCAGTATATCGGCGTCTATGCATGGCGGTAGACTTGCTCCCTTGAAGCCCTGTAGCGATCTACATTGGGTGGAGGACCAGTTGAGTTCCTGTGTAGTTCCCCGGTTGCTGTGTGTGTCGTTTCGCCTTTTTACTATGTTTGGCCAAGGCCTTCATGGTGTCTACAACCCTACTGTGAACAATGAATGTGTGCCCGATCATACACCATTATGAATCATGCTAGTTACATTGGATGTAAATGTAACGTCTATAATTAATTTTATTATGAGTTTAGTGCTGGGTTGACTCCTCCTAACTCCTTACCATTTCTTTCTTTGGTTAAGGGGCCGTGATGGTGGGTCTCAAGCTGAGGGCGTGGTCGGGGCCTGAAAGCACCTTCAACACAAATAATGTGTATATATTTTCACAACATCCTTCTCATTGGATTTAATTATACTTTTACTTTCTAATCTTAGTCCTAATACCTTATTCCTTCCATCCTTTCATTTACCTTTATTAAATATTTCATTTCTATGTTAAATACAACATTTCTATTATAATGTAATGTAACCAGTATTATTATGCTCAAGTGTCATTACTTTCTCTTACTAAAATCTTATGGTTCTATACTTCACAAGGTACTTAGGGACTTATTAGTGTTAGGTTAATCGAATTTATTTAGTAGGTAGGTAATTCTTTTACATGCCCTCAATAACATATTCTCTTACTGCTAACAATCGCCTACAAAAAAGAACCAGAGTTACTACACACAACACAACGTAGGTCCTATTAGACGATCACTGCCAATACAAATATTTTTATTAGAAGGTCTTATTAGACTGCGCATTTAATTGATCATTTAAATTTTATATTTTATTAAAGAAAATTAATTATTGATAGTAGGGAATATTATTTATTTCATTATCCATTATTTAAAATAAAAATAAGGAAAGCTAGGAGAAGGGGGGCACCGTTACACCTTCGCCTGTTCCAATTATGAATTGTCTCTAATTTAACACCTTAAAAGATCAATCTGATATCTATCTAATCTAGGCCTCGTCCAATGGCCTGATTACCTTGCTTTACTTCTGTGTCTACATAGTGAATGTTCCGGGACCAACGGTTCAACATGCCATCCAACGTACGAAGGAGCTCGAGTTATAAATTTTTAGCCAACCATCTTATGACTCACTGCGCTATCGAGCTCCTTTATCCTAGAAGGATATATTGCAACTTAAATCAATGTACTTATGGTTAGTATAGTGGAAAAGATGCCCAATGTAGTCCGTTAGAATAGTTTAAGAATCAGAATAACACTGACAAGCAAGAGGCGCTCGCTAAGACTAAGATTCGAGAGAGAGATGGAATATGAACGGTTTACATGTAATCTTCGTTGGAAGGGGGCAGTACACGCAAAATATGCGTCCCGGAACTGGTCAGTAGGAAAAACATTCGATATTAGGAAAAGACTGATAAAATAACAATATATAAAATTTTTAGACACCTTTCTCTTATATAGATAAAAAGCTACATTATGTAAACATTTTTTCATGTAATTAAACTTTTTCTTATATAGGTATAGATAAAAAGCTGCATTATGTAAACATTTTTTCATGTAATAAAATTAAATAAAATGTTATATATTTCAGTACGAATGGCAATGTTTGTATGAAGACAAAGACTGTAATAATTTTGTTGAATCCATTGAAAACGAGACGTTAATTTTTCCACTTGGATTACCTTTTCTCGGAGAGTAAGTTTTCTTATTAATAATATAAAGCGATCGACTTATATAAAATGAAATAAAAATGTTATTTTTCGAATAAGCTTATTGATAGCATTTTTGAATTAAGTTATATAAACAAGAAAAATAGGCACAAGAAACTCGGTGTTCGACCGCATTGGTACAATGGAGTCATATTTGGATGGATTCAATCTCGAGAAATTCTTTTGTGGTGTGTATAAATATTCGGTTGTGATATTTTTAATTTTTATAAATATAACTGCAGTGTATATGTTGATGTAGGCACTTAGATTGCCAGATAGTTAGATTTAAAATTGCCGGTACAAGTCTACCGTAAGCTATTCGAAACATATGAAGAAAAAAGTATTAAAATATTTCTTTGAATAAATAATATGGAGATGCAACCTTAGCAAAAATATTTGATCAACACAATTTATTACGAATTATTTTACCGACACATATGCTGTACTAAATACAAATTATTTTCTAGCAGTTGTATTATTTGCCGTAATGCAAACAGCCCTTAATAACCCTGTTGTTCTTAACAATCCGATTTGGTTAGGCACCGATTGCAATCAAAGTTCATTCATCGTTCAATACTGTATTCAAAACGAGTGAATTTAAATTGAATGTGATGACAAATAATTCAAAGAAAAAGTAGTTATACATAATGATCAAAAATTAGGAGTCATAAAGGAAATTTCCTTATACTATTGAAGTATATATTTTTTTAAGAATAGTAAGAAGAATAACAAATAATGAAAATAGTTTTAATTTACTACATTATTGATTCTCTTTTATCTATATCTGATATCAATGGGCTATGTTCGATATTTTAGAAAACTGTAAGATTTTTGTAAGTGACCCGAACTTTTCCTCGTTAGATTAGTATAAGAAACATTTCTCGGAAAACGGTGTCGTTTACAATTTATTTTATGAAAATGTATCTTTTCCAGATATCTGGTGACATTAAAAGTAACAGTTTTAGATCAGGAATGTATAAGGAACACTACTATTGTTACTGTAAAGCATATTCTGCCAATCGTTCAGGTTATGTAATACATGACAATGCTAACACTTTTCGACGAGGAGCTTACAAAGAAACAAATGATTACTACTGTAAAAAAATACTACCTACTTATTTTGTATACTGAAATTAAATTAAAATTTTTAAATTTAAAAAGCCGGTTAAGTGCGCTTTGGACTCGCGCAAGAATGAATCCGTACCATTATCCATTAAAATAAAGTCACATTTGTTATTTTCAATGGAGTTTTTCGAAATTTTCGAGATAAATACAAGTGGTCGACTATTACTCGTGTGTATTTTCTAGTGTTATGTTACCAACGACCGTTTAGTTCGTAGAGAGGGGGGACACTTGACTCTAACGAAAATTAGTTCTTTAAAGCTTTATAAGTCACAAACGGTTTACTAAATCTAAAAACTGCCTTCCCATACCATCAGTGAATTTAAAAGACCTAGCCATCGATGACCCACACTCTGAAAAAGAGTAAAAAAATATCATCCCCACTTTACATATGGGGGAAGTATTCTCAAACTTTTTTTTCTAAATTTTTCTTTACTCCTTGCCATGCTAAATTACAACTCTCTAGAACTAATAGTCTTTAACTCATATTTTAAACGATGAGACGTCAGAAAATGTCATTGTGATTTGTTATATTCTACAGGTAACACCGCTACGAAGATCATTGAATGAGGGCAGTCTAGTGAATCTGACAGCTAATTGCAGTAATGTAGTACCCACTTGTTCACTTTCCTGGTATTTCGCCACAGATGAGTATTTGGGATCTCTAAATCAAATTAATGACAATGGAACTTTCAATAAGAATCAGGTGAAATATGGAATCTAAAGAAAATCATAAATTATCGAATGCAGTTGTAAACACCCTATTCTAAAATATTATTGCCAAAAAAATATTTTTAATGGTAGGACTAAAGAATATATTCAAGTTTAAAAACAAAGGTCAACCTGTGTGAGGAACACCTTAGGTAAAAATAAATTAAAGAAAGGCTACAAATGTTGGAGTAATTCAAAATACTGAGGTGAATTCGATCGATACAAATGAATTTTATGTTACAACGTTACAATAGCATATGAAATTTAACAAAAAATAACGGTATTTAGTCTGTAGTATGTACACATCACGATTTCCAATTATCAATCGTCAAGTAGCGGCTCTAGAACCACTTGCGAGAAAAGGAGGCCCTCAGACCTCTCGCTCGCACACCGAGGGTTTATTTTATTTTTAAATTGACACTCGTTGGAGATTGCAGCCTTACTAATTGAGTAACTAAATGAAGTGTCTAAATAATTATGTTTTACGTAATCTTTTTGGTGTGAGATGATTCAATCCCGCACTGAGCGTCACTTTTGTCACTAATTGGGTGCTCAAATTTAGGTACTCTTTATTAGTATGGCAGCAATAAATAGATGCTACATATCACTAATATTGACAATGTCTCATTAATCACTCTCAGTAAATTTAGGTTTAATCTTGACAAATTGTGTATCCAATCTTCAACTAAGATAACAGAAGTAAATTTCAAGTTAATTGCAACACACCACCTTGAAACATAGTCTCAATTCTTTTTCAATGTCCGTTAGTTCATACAATAGCCATGCAGTATAGAGTCAATTGGCGATAGTGTACCAAATCAAGAGGACAAAAGCATCCTAAATGCAGTGTCGAGCGATTGCAGTCGTGTTCAAGAATAAGACGAAGGGGCCCGTCACCTAATTTCACTCAGTAGCAGTCCGCTAATACTCGACTCTATCCAAATTTGTTTCTGTGTTCGACCATGCTCAACTTAAACTAGATGACGATGCACGTCAGTAGCATTGTCAGTCTTGCTCACATTATCGTTAAAAAAAATTCACTTGTCTATATATATTTCAATATTGGGCAACGTTAAATAATTACATTATTGTGAGTTTATGTTGCATGTAGTTGTGGATCATGTCCGTTTTCAGTTGACGATTTTTTAAGATTTTCTGTACGCATAAATTCCGCTATTTTGTTTTAATCTAAAAGTTGAAGTTAACCCAATTTAAATTTATTATTCTTTTAAGTTAATTTTAGAGAGTAGTATAATATAATTGGCGTCACTGTTCCTAGTTGTTTATATAAAAAAAACAATGAAAACTATAATATTAACATGACTAAAGCCTAGATTATTCTATAAAGTATGTTGCAGCGATACAAAATGTTTATAGTTCAGTTATATTTTTGTTCGAGAAGCAAAACACAGAATTTTAGCTGCAATCAATTTCTTGCAGCATGGAGAAGCTCTCTCAGATACTGTTACAATATATTCACTAGAAGAGCAATTTCTCTATGAACTGTCTGATTTTACGAACGAGACGGAATGGAGGCAAATAACGACCACCATGACGGCTAAAGCTGGCCGAGCACGATTGTTGGCACAGTGTGGCTGTTCCCTTGCATTCAACTGTGAGACGGAAGGAGAAGTGTACGCAGACGTTTGGTTCGAACTGAATAATAGCCCTGTTACAAGCAAAGTAATGGTAGGAGCTATGATAATAACAGTATGTAATCTAAGTAGTAGCATCAAAGGAACGAATTTTCCTTAAGACACCTGTGACACCAAAAATGACACCATTTTTATCAAATGAATAGAGCTGGAGAAATTCTTCTATGTAGTACATCTTGTTTAGCAGTACACTGCTAGACAAGATGTACTACGATGAAAAATCATTTGCTCAAATTAGTTTATTTTCAATATTTATGTTCAGTCATGCAAGCCGTATAAATAAAAAAGATAGTGTAGGATAATAGAGACATTGTCTAATGCCTTTGTAAAAAAAAAATATGCATCAATTCAAAGCACATGCAATAATTGGTGCATATATTTTTTTATCGACATAATCTACTGTTGTAATTAATGCCTACAATATTTTAATTTATTTTATCGATATATCGGGAACTCGAGAAATGTAAGAGTATTTATATGCATAAAAATGTATTCTGTATGACTTGATTGCGCATAACACACCCTATTATTTATTTGCTTATTAATGAGTTGTTATTAATAGGCTGTGATTTATCGCAAGATGTGAAAAGATAGAAATTTGACTAAAGTTTAGCTAGTGCAGTACCAAGGTATGTGTGTGCATTATATAGTCATTACCAAGATGTTAGTCGCAGACTTTCATCAGTACGTTAAATCTCACCTGGATAGTGTCTCACAAATTTATTTTTATTAACGTATAAAAGGAACAGATTAGGATAAGTAATCGAGTTCGCGTGGTATGTTATCAATTTGCAATAAAACTGATACAAAATAAATATTATATAATAACGAATAGATATTTTAAAAGATCTATTTATTTGTAATCAATTAAAAGTTTTTAAATTCGTTTTTCAGATCTCACCAGAATCAGGAACTGCTTTAGAGACAACATTCCGCATAAGTACTCTCGCAGCGTCAGATCCTGATGCACCACTAACATATTCTTTCTATTGTTCGATTGGAGCAGATGAAAGTATATTATTAGCCTCTCATTTGGAGCATCTTTCCGATGTTACTATTTTACCATACAATGGTACGTACAAAATAGCGACACAAGTAAGTCTGTATCTTACATATCTTTCAACATCCATTATTATCTACGTAATTCAAAGAACTACAAACTGCAGACAAAAAACAGTACTTACATACAGAAAAATTACCAATTTCTTAATGAAAATTTTGTCCTTGGAACTCTGCAGTATAGCATTGTGAAAAGATTGATCGAATATAATAATCAAAATATCATGATGATATTGTTTTGAAATCTCGTTTGAGTGGGTGGAGTTTTATTATCTGGAGATTGAGTTTATTATTCTAAAAGGTATGAGTTCTTAAACTTCACATGCCAAATGATACTTAAAAGTTCGTCAAATTTCGTCTTTCTTGCATTCCATCTATATTGTTACACCTTTCCTTTATTAATTGTATATGCCATATCTCCCTTTACATTTAAAGAGATTCACACGTAAAAATCAAGGCATTACGCTCTATTTGAAGCTTTGGTTATCTGAACCGGTTGTTGTCCCAATTATTTATTGTTCTACTAGTTTATTAAAAAGAAATTGTGCCAACAGTGTCCTTAACTCTGGAGATTGGGAAAATATAATTGATAGTTTCCACTACTCAAATTTCTCCCCGGCTTTAAGAAATCATAGAAAAGAGCTATTGAATAATTATATTATAAATGCGAATGTTTGTGAGGATGTATGTATTGATCTATGATTGTTGAGTTCATGCAAAAAGTACCTACTGAACTTTTTTTGATGAAACTTGGTATACGGATTGATAATTCTAAGCAGGCTACTTTTATTACCGGGGGAAAGTTAACAAAACAGATTATTTTTACAGCAAACGGTGTAGACATATGGGTAGAAGTCTGCGATTCCTTTGGTGCATGCTCGAAAAGTAATGTCAATAAGGTTTTTCTGAATCCCGGAGAAGGTAAAACGTTAGATACCCTTTTAGAAGATATATATGCACATGTAAGTCGATGCGAGATAGATATGTTACGGAAGGTTGCAGTTTCTGCGATTACAACCTACAATGTGAGTTTTAAGGCACCTATGCCTAATAAGGCTGACTGATTTTGTCTGCTGGAGTGCTAAAATCCAAACTGAAATAAGTCTTAATTACATTGGCCTGCAATAGCGTCAGCGCGCTAGGGAGAAATGATATCAACTTCCAGGTTGTAGATCTTTATTTAACTAAACAATCTTCGTCTTATTTACTACTTAAATCTAAGAGAGGGATATAAGGGTACGTGATAAGTAACTGCTAAGGAAACATATTTATCGAACGTGGATTATTTGCATACTAGTGCATTCCATCCCAATCACGTTTATAACGTGTTTCTTAATATTTACATACTACAGTCCTTACTGATTTGTAGATGCGATACTGTAATTCTGATATATTTTAATTTGTTCGATTTGTAGCAATTCAGCGGCCAAAAACATGAAGCTTTACTATGCGATAATACTTTGATTAAGAATCTTTATACTATCGCATAAATGCTTAAAAAACGCTAAAATACCTCTTAATAAAACAGTTAGATTTAAAAAATAATGAATACCCATTTGAATTACTGATACTTTTAAATGTCATAAGTTTTAATTTACTTTAGTTTTAATTTAATTTACTTTTTTTCTATTACAGAATACTCAACAAACATCCATTCTGCAAAAGTTTACTGAAGGTTTACAGAGATCGATAAAAATGATCGAAATCAGTTGTATAGATAGAAATTACCAGAAATATACAGACATGTTATTGCAGTTAAATCGTATTGGTTTAGACTAATCATAATTGGATATAACAATTTCTGTTTGAATTTGAAAACTATTTATACCTCTCCAGAGGTTGTAAATCTTCTTTACTTAACTTTTATTACATTATATATGATTTATTTATTCATTTCTTAACTTATATTAATGAAGTAATAAAACAACTATATCGATTTTCATTAGCAGAACTAACATATATACCTTTAAATAAAAATAAAAGCAAATTAGTAGTGTAGGTCACACGCATACTGATAATATAAAATTGAAATTGTAATCGGAGACCCCTTAAATTATTAAGGGACCACGACTGCATTAAGAAATTTGTTAATCGTTTTCAGTTTTCGTAATACTTAGCTTTTAGCCTGATACAAATACAAGAAAAACGGAAATAATTCGATATAAGCCTGGAATATTTTTTATCGAGTTTGTGAGCCAATTACAAGAGACTATATTTAAGAATCCATTTCATTTTAGCTACGGAAGGTATAAAAAAAACATCAGGTCAAAAAACCTTCATTTATTCACGCAAAATTACTAACACGATTTTTTTCACAAATTTTGGTTTTATTTATCATAGCGACAATGAAAATTACTGAAATCCAACTAAAAAAACTTTATTTTTTACTTATTTTTTTTGTTGTATTTTAATATAATAAAACTTTTATTTAAATATTTATGATTGGATTTTAATTATATTTAGTAGAATATGTGTTTCACTCAAAAGTCTGCTGCATATATTGCGTGTTATATACCAATATTCCACGGGAATATTGGTATACAATATTCCCATGGAAATTTTCATTGAATTCAAAACAAAATATACTTAACGCAATATAGTAATATCGATTGAAGTCGTATTTCATTGTTAATATTATTGGTATTTTTACAAATATTTTTTAAATATTTATTGTCCGTGTTATATAAAAATATGAGTTTCCAAATAATTCCAATATTAGGAAGATTTATGTATTTTATAGAAGTAACAGTGTGAAAATACGTAGAAGTCACTTTATATGTATTTTGCTTATCATGCCATTGAGAAATTAAAGGAATTTTATTTTTTTTACTAATAATCCGAAAGAAAATATCGTTGGATTAATTCATATATTAAAAAGGAAATATATGATAGCCTCATAATAAAAAAAAACAGCTGTTATGTTTTAATGTTTGATCTCCATACTGGAAGTTGGTAATTGTATCAGGCTATTTAGTCTAGTTTCTTTTATTTTATTTTAAATTAAACTTAATATTAATTGATGATATGTAAATAAGAAAATAAAAACATTATAAACGAATTTTAACATATTTATTGATAAAACCAATAAAATGTTAAGAAAGGCTCCCCTGACGAGCTGTTGATGTTTTCTCATATTAAGGCATTTATTTATGCTTCGCGCTGGATTTGATTGTTGTGATATATATTATGAGTGAGAAATTGAAATTATCGTTTGTAAGATACAGTTTCTATTTAACATAATAGAAATCTTGCCTAATCCTGTTTGTTATTGATAGAATAGAAATAAGTCTAATCTAATTTTTGGCGTTTCACAAATATCGAAGTGACGTATGTAAAAAATATTAGCGCCATCTATCGTTAGTACTCTACAGTATGCAGATCAAACTCAGGCTGAAAGCGCATGAAGAAGAAACGAAAGCTTAGGAAAAAGCATCGCAAGCTTACAAGGAACTAGTAAATCTCTCAATACCGGAGGAAATTATGTAGCAAATATTTCAGCGCCATCTATCCTTAGTGTTCTACACTATACAGACAAAGACGCAGACTGAAAACGCTTTGAAGAGCAATGAAGCTTAGGAAAAAGTAACGAAATCTAGGGAATTTTCCAACTAGATGGCACTAAGTTATTTACAACTAATGAAATTCTTACATACCTAGTTTATTTTAACGTTTTTTAAAGATAAAAACTAAAAGTTTTTAGTAAGTTTTATCTTAAAACGGTACTACAAGTGTACAGAGAGTCTTGAAAACATTTAGACTATTATATTGTTCCATTGTAAAACAAGGTATGTTCAATTGTATCAGGATATTTTTGCTAGATTTGTAAGCAGAGCAAGCGTTAGTAAGCGACATATACCGCGTGTTACAAAAAAACCCGTTACCCCGAAAATGGCATTGAGTATACATAAAACTGAGATAATGGACGCTGTCCTTTATATCGTAGCCATTGTATTTACTAAAAAAAACAATATCGAAGTTTAGCAAAATTTTCGATACCAATTATCGAAGCACACCGACATTATGATCAGCTGTTTCAGTTCATTGACTTCTAAATCAAAGACTATTACTTTGCCAGACTGTTTATATCTACTAGTATTTAGTGCCTACGTCACAGTACAGCGAAATAATTTATCTAGTTATGTGTACATACGCAAATATTCGAACATGTAAAATATTACACGAAAACATTATTTTATAACTTTTTCCAAAATTCGTTTTCATTCAGATTAGAGCTCCCTTTCCATTATACCTTGCCATATTACTATGACCGTGCTACGCACATATCAGACACTGAAACAAACAATAAACAGTACACTATGTTCACTGCACTGGATTAAATACTTTCGCCTGAAATGCTCGTACAATATCTCTTTACGAACTGTAGACGGCCCCTCCAAAATAATAATCTTTATAATTAATGCAACGACACGTCACTCAATAATGTACTCATAAAATCAATTTCATCTAATCTAAACAAATACAGAAGCAGAGGAAGAAGAAATATCGCGACCTCTACATAAGTAGAATATTCGTTTTTGCACGAACAATTTTTATTTCATAATAGGTAGTTTCATTTGTATGAAAATAATTACAATATTATGAAAGTAGGCGACGTATATCACTCAGTCTCTTCCAGGTAACTTTGTCTATCTGTAGCTGCTTCATCTTTGAAACAGAATTTTTACATATCGTGTCTTTAAATCATGATAACCTGGTACTCGTACCTACAATTTTCTGTAACGGAAGTAAACCTAATATGACGTCAGCGCAGATACAGTCGGGGAATAAATTGAAACATTGATCAATATTCGTGTACACATTTCAATTGTGTACACGTTTAATGTCAATTTATTTCTTTTCTAATATTTTTACAATAAAAAGATCAGACTTAAAATGGAATTTGAACCTTAATCGGGAATATGATCATTCCCGATTATGGTTTCAACCACTTACTCTTACTACATGTAAATTGTGTCAAGTAAATTGGATTGCTACCTTACAGTAAATGATATGCACTACACTTAGGTATCTTAAAAGCGTCTGTCAAGAAAAATGTCGCTAAAGAGCCGCTTTCTGAATTAAGAAAAGTACAAAATCTCAACTGAATATTCTCAATAACTGAAGTTTTTTTGTATTTCACTAGTTAAAAGCCCTAGTTTTATCAAACTGCTAACAATTATTAATTATTAAAAAAAAAACCGGCCACGTGACAGTTGGACTCGCGCAGGAAGGGTTGTATCGGGTGCTAAGAAATAACTTTAATCATTAGCTTAACTCCTAAAAATATTTTTTATTGTTTAGGTATTTAAATACGTAAGAGAAATCAATACATAATCGGTAAAATCGAGCCTAAAACAAATTCACTTATTCCCCCGAGTGTACATTGACGTAAGATAGAGATAGAGAGGGAGGGAAAGAGAGAGAGAGAAAGAAACAAAACATTATCGTTCGTGTTTGTGTGATGTCGCACGCGAGTGACGACTTGACGCTAGATACAGTAGTAGTAAACATTTGGTACGGATTTTAATTTATTATCTATTTTATTACTGTGGGCTATTCAACTGAATTTTAGAATCAGAGTATAGGATTCACTATTTTAATGCTGTAAGAAATGAAAATGAATGAGACGTTTTATTATGTACTGTTTACCTATTTCCTTAAATAGAAAAAGCCATAAAACGACCGACACAGCTAACAATCAAATCGTCATTTATTTGAAAAATAGTTTAAAATAGAGAAGGTGTATGAGTTAAAATTTTAAACAGGTATGTCGATTGTGTGCAAATTATTACGGCCCACGAAATACATTAATTTATTTATTTAGCGATGTCTTATGATAGTCGATGCTACTTTCTCTCTACAGACTGAGCAAAGCATGCTTTTTTGCATGCCGCACGGTGGGCAGAATCGGTCGTTATCGGATCAAAAATGTATAACTTCATGATTTTTTGTAGTACCGCAATGAAATTTGCTACAAATATTCAGTGAGGTTTGGAAATTCAAATGATGTATAATTTGTAGTGTTTTTCTATATACATATATATGTTATATGTCATAGAAGTAAAAAAAATGGGAAAACACAAAAATAAAATGGTAAAAAAAATAATTCCAAAAGAAAGACAAGTTTTAATGACTAAAAAGGCTAAAACTACGGTTAAATACAAAATTACCCAATTAATAAAAAATACAAAAAAATTTTTTTTGCTGAACAAACAAACTATATTAGGCCTGTAGCTTCAGAGATTGATTTAACTCATTACAAACATTACTAATAACTAAATATCAATATTATTTTTATTTTGATAGGACCAATATTGCTTCAGGATCAGGGTCAGTAAACGTGCGTTCACTTTCAGGTACCACTTTTAAAAGACTTTATTGCCTCTACTTCAAGATTTTTTACATTTCTTAAGTATGGTTTTCTTAAACTTGTTATATATGGATCTGACGTTCACAAAATCATTTTAAAGACATCTTCATTTGTTGCAGACCGGGAACATTTTTTGGCATGATGAAGTCGCATGTTTCTGTAGTCTTTGTTGCGAGACTCTTGTGCGTCTTCCGACAGCTGTCCAATAGGATTATCTTATTATCTAGTAATTTCTCACGCATAACGAGTGCAAATTTGATAAGATTCCTTTGTTATCGCTAAATAAATAAAATATTCCAAAAGTAATATAATTATTGTCCTTGTGAACGGTGTCTGTGGTAAACCGCCAAAGATACTGATTTTTATTTTCCGACTTTTCACACATTATTTCTTATATTTTCTAAAACCG